GTGACGTAATTTTAACTAAAATACAAAATATTTAATTTTCTTTTGCTCCAATTGCATTCCAATTACCAGAAAGACCCACCTTAAAGATCACAATTCAGGATGAATGGGGAAAAGGCGCTAACGGCCCCAGGTGCCCAGATATATTTTGATGATGATGAATAAGTCCTGATAATAGACAAATAAATTAAGAAATTTGGATAAAATGCCATATTATAGGATACCACGTGCGCCTAAAACTGCAAAAAAGTCGGATTTAATAAATAAAAGCACAGATTAAAATTCACTAATTAAACTTTATCAGCAGAAGTTAAAATTAGCAATTTTTCTCGCATATGAAATGCGAATATTTTCGCTTTAAACATAAAAAATTTGCGATATAAATCATGGTAGTATGACTGAATGATCAAGTAAATAAAAATTTATTAAATTTCTTCTTCCTCTTTATATTTTAGACGCATGTCGTATCACTGCCTTTTCTGATTTTGCAATTCGTAGTGAGCTTCTTAAACTATGAAGCAAAATTAACGAAACAATTTTTAAGTAATGTAGTCTTTAATTATTCACCAATGTATTAAATCTTTTGCTGAAAGTGGAACAATTGAGATTACTCGTTTTGTTGTAGTTGACTTATGCCTGTTTAGGCAAAGAGGTACGATTGTTCTTGTTTTCCAGTGGCGCCATCTATGGCCAAGAGTTTGACTACCGTCACACCCGTTTATAGAGCGGACCCATTCATATATCCATTCATTCATTCACAGATCGTAATTTTGACCTGGATCAGAGAACGATCGGTCTCCAATCCAGTACTCCCATAGGTATTGATTTGTTATGGGAATGTGGAGGACTTTGCGACTCGACAGATTTAACGTGCCTCAGTCACCATTTACTATACGGGGAGTCTTCGGCCGGCTCGGATCGAACCAATGAACTCTCGGACATGGGCCCAGCGCCCTATCGACCAGGTTATCCCAGCCCTTACTATCGTTGAAAATAAATATTTTGCCAAAACTTCAAATACTGGGGGGAAAGCAGGGCTACAAACTACTGCGCGTTTTCCAAAACATTTTATACAGTAGTATGAATGTTTATGAACTTAAAGAACTTCGGTAATTTGGCCAATATTTTAGAAGCCATAGCACTTAACAGATAGTATTTATTTACTTATTGGTACTACATACATGTGTGCTCAATTAATGCTTATAAACCTTTTCAAGTAGAAGAACGTCACAAAAAATGCATCCACGGTTAAGGCGGGATTCGAACCCGCCACCTACATGCTTAACAGCGCGTTTGACGGGTGATACCGCTCGGACAGGAAGGCCCCCGTAACAGATGGACTAAAGTGGTGTTTTATATGAACTTTCGAATCATCTGTGTTGTCCCATCTGCAGAATATAACTGTAACATATCTGCGGAATATTTTTAATCTAAGTGTTCTCTTTATATTTAAAAAAGAAAGTAAATGGAGGGAAATCACTGAGACCATTTTCTAAAATATTTCTAAACTTGTTTCGAGCGAAAAAGCTCAATTGAAAGAACACAACAAAGAATAAAAAATAAAGAATTTTTTTAACAGTTATTGGCTGAACTGTTTAGGGATTTATTCCATTTTTTAGTATCACTGAATAAATTTCAATTTAAACAACATAAAGTTTTTATGTATAATTTTCAAGAATCTTATACTTCCTAATTTTCTTACAAGTATTAGATTAAACTGAATTTTTACAATAATAAGCTAATGTCTGATTACGTTGAGGCCGAAACCAAATTTTGGAAGACAGCGCTGCAGATTCACTTCATAAATTCTGCTACCAGAATGCTAATTTACAATCCAGGGTATTTTAACGACTCGCTCTCTTTATTAGAGATTTTCTCTCTGCTGTAGTTGGTCCCAATTAAAATGCAAGATTTTATTTCTTTCAAAATTTGTTACCTAAACTAAAAAAAAGTCAAGAATCAATTTTTTTAATTTAGAAAATGTAAAACAAAAGAGCTGATCGTTAAAAACCGCAGAAATGGAAAGTCACTAACGGAACTTCCACTAGAAGAAATTTACCCCAAAACGGCAAAAATTTAGCAGCCATGGGCAAGAAAAGCCGAAATCATATAATTACATATCAATAAATCAATAAGAATTAATTATAGTAAAAAAGCATTAAATTTAACTAAAGTACGATATTTCAAGAAGAAATTGGACATTTCCAATTCTTCTTTCCAATTCAATGCTCGATTGCATTATCCATCGGAAAAAAAATAACTGAAATTTAAATAGTGCCGAACTACTCCCGATAATTTTAGCTTATAAATAATTTTTAAAAAATATCTGAAACAAGGAAACGATTCTCCACCAAAATAGACTCCGATATCTCTTCTTATCTTATTTATATTTCTTGAGTAGGGAATATTTATTTAACAAATTCTAGAAGCAATAAAAAAACAGCAGTTATTTATTTTTAAAGAATATATATTTAGAATAAGATTGTTCTTTGAAATGTCTAGCTAGAGGTGGAATCTCTGGAGAGAGAAAAAAAGATTTATTTTTGGCACGATTCACTCGCTTTCAGAGAGAAAACACGTATTTTTGAATGGAATAAAAAAAATGAAATAACTGAAAAAATTGCGGGTTATAGCACTTTCTGAAATGCTATTTTACTCTTATTTTATTCAAGTATTTTAGAAATCTGAAAGTATGAGTATTATTCTATAGCAATATCGATTTCAGCGAAATATAAAAAGACCCTGTATAAATACAGAATAAATTCAGATAGTAATTATTTTATAGTGATAATTCATTAAAGTAGTATTAAAACGATTACTAAAATGTGAAAAAATTGTTTTCAAATAATAGAGAGTAAAAACTCGGTTGATCATAAACTTTGTATAGTGATAAACAAAAAAAAAAACAAAAAAAAATTATTTTTTTTTACTTCACTAAATCTCAATCTTCTTTCTACTAAGCATTTTTAGTTTCGCCAATTATCCATCGTCTCCTAAATTCCGCCGAATCGGTTAATTGCCGCCTTCGGACACATGCACCGAGCTCATACAATGTTCGTAAATCGAATCCTTACATTCTGTAAAAAAAAAACAATGCTGGTAACATATGCAAATTTAAATGTATTTTGATAGGGTTTTGCTATTTATCAATTACCACTTTTCACATTTTTAACACTAGGTTTACGGTCATTTTGACGCATTTCGAGTTTTGTAAAGAAAATTACAAAACCCGTTTGAATTTTTATTTTATCTCTTGTAATGATTTTTATCCATTGATCGAGGTAAATATATATTGAAGTCTATTTTCTTCAAAAGCGTTGAAATATTGAAATTCTCTTTGTGGTATACCTATCTCTACGGATATGCGTCAATTTGACGCTATCGTAATTTAGACAAAATTTTGAGTAAACATCACATCAATAATAAATAGGAATGTACCGACAATACTTCGATTCATTATCCGAAATGGTTATCTCAAATGAAACAAGCGATAAACAAAACTGTTTCCGATGAGCAATAATAGAAAGAACAAACGCAGAATGTCAGATTTTGAAGGCTTCAGTTACTTAGTTCGAGTATTGAAAAATAAAAAACTAAAATATTTCATAAATATATATCTCATATTTCCATTTTTTTCTTGTGGTATATAATTACAATGCTTTCTAAGTGTAGAGATGGCAACTGCTCAAGGCACACCAAAATAATTTTTAAAAAAAATAAATAACTACTAAGTTAATTTTGCAAATGTAAAGTGGTGAATTATATAAGCCTACGAATTATTTAGAAATAGTGGTGGATAAAAATCTATTAAATTGAATTTATTAAACCAAGAATCACAATTGATAAACAACCATTTTAAAAAATATATTTGCTGTCTGTAGCAAGTTGGCATCTCTGTAAGTGCTGTTATATGTATTCGTTCATGCGTCAAGTTGACGCGTGTTCGTAGAGATAGGTATATAAGAAACGTCCGTAAACCTAATGATGTATTCGTTCATGCGTCAAATTGACGCGTTTTCGTAGAGATAGGTATTTAAGAAACGTCCGTAAACCTAGTGTTAATCTCCTGTGTAATCCTTGCTCCTGCATATGCAACTTTATAAAAAAATTTATACTTTTGAAAGTTTTAAGACTTCAAAATAAAATAGAAGAGTAGATTATTTTGTGAGAAAAACTGTATAAAAATCACACTCTCGTGTTTTATCTGTTTTAAATTAAGAGAGTCATTAAGATTACTTCCCTATAATTTTAAATGTTCTCGCTTTCAGGTGTTGAGAACTTGGACAGTGGAGTCGGTATCTATGCCCCCGATGCCGAGGCCTATACCCTTTTCGCCCCTATTTTTAATCCAATCATCGAGGACTACCATGAAGGTTTCAAGCCAACCGACAAACATCCACCAACTGATTTNTTCTTGTGTGCATGGGGAGTGTAGTGTGGAGATCGGCTATTTACTACCATTATCTAATCTATAATCTAAATTGTGGTAGTTTACAAGTTAGATCATTAATCAGATAATGATAGTAGACAGTCATAGGTAATGCATGCATGGTCAGTATTTTCCTCGAATCATCACTAACTGCCATGGCAGTTAGCATGACATGGTAGACTACATATAAAATACCATGTGGAGGCTTTGTCCATCCCATCAATCATCGATGTTGATTCAGGGGGAAATATATTTCCACAGACAAAAGAACAATAATAAATGTCAGAACAGCTTCAAACATTTGTAAACAAGTCCTTAAAAAGAGAGAGAGAGAAAGAACTCGAAAAATGTTTGTGCAAGCTTTGAAAAGAAAAGAAAAATGACTTTGATTTGTTAAAAAACGTATTAAGCGAGACATTCTTAGCCCTTTGCTTTCGGTATACCATGTTGAGCCAACCATAAGCAAAAGTGTTTCGTAAAATCCGAGATAATTTAACGTTATCAATGTAGGCAATTTTCACTGACCAAAAGAAAATGACGTAGGTAGCGGGATAAAGTACGAAACGGACAACTTAAAATCTGGGTTCCACAGTATTCACTTAACTTTTGTTTGTTTATTTATTTAATATTTTTTTTTCTTTTTTGTAGAACTACAAAGAAATGGAAGACAAAGTTAGCGCCATTTTCGGCTCATTTGAAGGAGAACTGAAAGGCAAATATCACCCTCTTACTGGTATGGACAAAGCAACTCAACAACAATTAATCGATGATCACTTCCTTTTCAAGGAGGGTGACAGGTATGTTAAAAAAATTCCATCTTCATTTTTTTTTTTCTTATGTTACATGCACAAAAAATTAAGCTAACATCATTTCGTCATTAATATTGCACGGTTGGCAGCTAGAAATTAACATTTATTTTTATTTTAGGTTCTTGCAACATGCCAATGCTTGCAGATACTGGCCAACTGGTCGTGGCATCTACCATAATGATGCCAAGACTTTCTTGGTCTGGTGCAATGAAGAAGATCATCTCCGCATCATTTCAATGCAGAAGGGTGGTGACTTAAAGACCATCTTCCAGCGATTGGTCAATGTAAGTTATTGGTTCGATAAAATCAAAAGTAGTTTAGCTTAGTGGAAAGCAAGTAACTGACATTTTCAGCGTAATTTAGTAATCAGGGGAAATAGCATAAGACTGTCGCATGGATATGGGTATGTTTAAATGCTACAGAATTGTTCTTGCTTCCACGTTAATTTGTATTATATATCCGTCGTTAAACAGCCGACCCAATTTTGGGTTTACGAATCCTAATGTTCAACTCCGAAGCCTTGTAATTTTGAACCAATCCGGAAGGCAACGAAACTCCTGGATAAGTACCCGCAGAGGCATGATTTGTTATGGGAACATCGAAGACTTTATGACTCGAAAGATTTAAGGTGCATCAGTCACCTTCGGGAAGTCTTCGGCCGGCGGGGATCGAACCCACGAACTCTTCGACATGGGCCCAGTGAACTACCAACCAGGCTATCCCGGCCCTCCACTTTAATTTTGGCATAAATAATCAACTAATAGTGGTAGTGGTAAATAAAATAAGGCAGATAATTGGTAGCCTCGCCATCTAATAAATCTGTAATGAAATAGCTCGAATATTTTTTCTTTTCTTACCCTGATTATAGACACTCTTAAAATGTAACTTACCGGGTCCATTCACTCAGGCCCTTCAATTCCGACATTGAATGGCAGATACAATTCGCTTGGACGCAAGTGCGTCCATCACCCAGAAAACAAAAATTAATCGAGGAAATTTTCTTCCAATTAAAGCTTTATTTTTGTTATTATTAATAACAGAAAGAGTTAGAAAAAAATTGTATAGAGTAAGTTCTGAAATGACTAACAAAAAATACTGTTTATTTCACTAAAATTTACAAGAGTTTAAAACCCGACACCTGACACGTTACAAAATCGCTTGCTTTTCTGCAAATCAGTAATTAATTCGTAGTAGACAGCATCAAATCTATAATACTTTCATTTTTAAATAAAAGTAGTGATTCAGTTACAAATTACAATAGTGATGCCATCTGGCCAGTTTCATAATCGCTTGTTTTTATATAAATCAGAGATTCATCAATGATTGAAAAGTATCAAGTCAGTGATACTATCAGTTTCTAATTGATTATAGCGACTCAGTTACAATAGTGAAGGCAGCAACTCATTTCTACGAAAACACCTCATTAAACTTAGTCTCAAAACAGTTACAGTTTTACAATTTATTTCTTAAAATTGTCTCATTTTAACATTGAGTGTTTGCAATTCTATTTAATCTCCATTGCGTGCTGTCACTTTTTGCTAAAAAATAAATAAATGGTTCCTTTGTATTCAGCTATTACACAAAACAATCGTTAATTTAATGTTGTCTTACAAGTGATTACCTTTCATCTTATCTCAATAAAGATTTCACACATTATAATTGTTAACAGAATTACGAAGTAAGTTACAAGATCAGTAGGCTAGGATCAATTTGAATTAACGCCAAATACTTCATTCATGGCTAGAACCTTTTACAGGTGTGTGATTCTCTTGACATTGAAAGGTGATTCTCGTTAGGAAAAAAAAAGTCTTGTCTTGGCCCAATGTCTTGACTCGGATTCCTTTCTTTAGAATTTATTTGTGTTAACTCTCCATCAGTGTTGATGGGGGCTTGGCATGACATACATTGGTAACTTTCAGCTTCTTGCTGAGCAAGTGGAATTTTTTTTTCTATACTGGCAATGGTTCGATAGCCTTGTTTTATGCGCAGAACTAGAACTATTTAGAATTGTTGTAGGTTATTTAAGTTTTATGCGTTCTTTTTGTGGGTTAGAAAGATACAAATTTGCTTCTTTTAATATCTTTTTTCCCTGGAAGCCGTTTTAAAGTTCTAAGCAAAACAAAACCTAATTGAAAATAGATATTTTTTATTGATTGAGAATATCCAGCCCACAACATTCAGTGGGAGTTGTACAAAATAATGTGCTACTCTCCGATTACCTAAGTGTTTGATTTCTTCCTATAACTTATCACCATTAGTGATTATTTATTCTCTTATACGAATTACATATATTCAATATTCTTGCTTGCAGGGGTTGCACAAAATAGAGTACTATACTGCGAACAATGCTATTCTCCGAAACAGTCTTATTTTTCTACAAATGTTCTGGAAAATTTTGCATTGAAAACTGTTAGCCAATTTTGAAAAAGTATGATTAATCCATTAGTGCCTTGCTTCCTTGTTTCTTCGATCGATTTCTTTTACAAAAAAACTTAAGATATATGTAAACCTAATAATTGCGCAGAGAAATTTTCTGAATCCGGACAGAATTAAACAAATTATATTGACCATATATTGTTCTTTGGTTACCGTTTTAAATATTCTGAGAAACTCGGACTTTGGGGTCAGCAGTTTTGCGTATGAAGTTGCAAGCAAACAGTGACTAGCGAACCACAAAGGATATTTTTGCAATTCGAAAGTGTCTTGAATCTAAATTAAGTGCAGGAAAGGAGATTTTACAGTTAAGTTTGCCGACGACTGGAGTAGGTGATGAGATAAAATGGGAAAACTAAACATTACATAGTTACATATGTTCTTTACAAACTAATCGCACTTTATTAACTTGTACTGTCGCAAATATTATATATATATATATATACATCATTTTGGGAAAAAAATCTGCCCCTTTCCAACCAAAACTAATTTCGGATTTGATATCCCCACTCCCAAATTAACCAAAGTCAAACTCTTGTATATGGGTCATTCTCACGAAAACTGTCA